AAAAAAAAAAAAAAAAAAAAAAAAAAGAGGCACAATACTTAATAGGTCTTTTGAAGTTTTTTTTTTTAAGTCAGTCTAACCCAGGCTGGACTGCAATAGCATGATCATGGCTACCGCAGCCTTGACCTGCTAGGCTCAGGCAATCGATTGATCCTTCTGCCTCAGTCTCCTAAATAGCTGGGACTATAGGTGCATGCCAACACACCTAGTTAATTTTTTAAATTTTTTATAGAGATGTGGTCTCACCAAGTTACCTAGGCTGGTCTCGAACCCCCGGTCTCAGGCAATCCTCTCACTTCTGCCTCCCAAAGGGCTGGGATTACAGGCATGAGCCACCACACCCAGCCTGATATAATAATTCTTATATCCAACCTTCCTTGTTCAAATGACTGTGTGATTTATGGTTATTGTTAGACTCTGACTAGTTCATGGACCATGTTCAGTTAAGACGTGCTAGCCACTAACACTCCAGTGAGCTGGGATGTCTAGGAACTTTACAGCTACAAAGGAAGGTGGGTCACTCACCTCTTTAATTTCTTTCAGCAGTTCAAGAGCACAGCTGAAGTCGGGGGGAGAGGCTGATAGCTGCTCTTTAAGATGGTCCCAAAAGGCATTGTGCATCGTCTCCTTGCCCTTGCCCCCTAGACTGTAAGAGGGTTAAATGAACAGTTTATGCCCTCAGCCCCAAAACTATGATAGTGTCGCAATCTCCTAAGCCCCAAACAACATTCGATATAGTAAAAACCAACAGATAAAACCACTGTACCGACAGGGAACAGTGGACAACTATGTTGAACTGCAGCAGAGTGGAGCGAGCTGGGGTTAGGCTTGTATTCCGCGACAGCAGCAAAGCCTCTCAGAAGGGCTCTGCAAGCGACAGAGCAGCCTCCGGCAGGAGGAGGAGCCAGGAGTGGAGGGAGGCCAGGCTGAGTGTCAGCACCGAAGGTGATCTGGCCTAGACTGTGACTTGCTTTCTGTTTATGTATACATGTCACATTGAACTGAATTGCCTCTTGCTTTCTCATATTCTTAAAATCTAGGATTTTCCTTCTTTGAAAACACCCAAATGTCCACAGATATTTCCAAATCAGCAGGTCTAAAACTGAATTCATTATTTTCCTCCTCTAAACTTGTTCCTGTTGTAGTCTCCATTTCAGGGGTGCTACCCATCTACCTAGTCATGGAAGTCAGAAAGATCAGTCTGTTGTTTTCACCTTAAAAAAAAAAACACAAGGGGCCGGGCTCGATGGCTCAGCCTGTAATCCTAGCACTTTGGGAGGCCGAGGCAAGTGGATTGCCTGAGCCCGCAGGTTTGAGATCCGCCCAGCAACTTGGCGAGACCTCGTCTCTACAATAAATCAACTAGCCAGGCATGGTAGCGCGCACCTGTAGTTCCGGCTACTTGGAAGACTGAGGCGGAAGGATCGCTGGAGCCCAGCAGGTCAAGGCTGTGGTGGCCAGGAGTGTGCCACTGCACTCCAGTTTGGGTGACAGAGTGAGACTCCAACTCAAAAAAATAAGTAAATAAAATAAAATAAAAATAAAATAAAAAAAACACAAGGAGCAAAGGCAATTCAAATTAGAAAGGAGAGTCTTTCGACAAATGCTATGGGAACAACTAGATACCTAAATGCAAAAAAAAAGAATCTAAACACAGACCATAATCTCTTCACAAAAGTTAACTCAAAATGGATCCCAGACGTAAATGTAAAACACAAAACTGTAAAACTCCTAGAAGATAACAAAAGAGAAAATCTGGATGACCCTGGGTTTGGCGATGACCCTTTAGGTACACTAAAAGCACAATCCATGAAAGAAAAAATGGTAAGCAGTGGGACTCCATGAAAATGAAAAACTTCTGCTCTGCACAAGACACTGTTAAGAGAACAAAAAGACAAGCCACAGACTGGGAAACAATCTTTGGACAACACATATCTGATAAAGGATAAGTATCCAAAATATACAAAGAACTCTTAAAACTCTACAAGAAGAAAACGAACAACTCAATTAAAAAATGGGCCAAAGACCTTAACAGACATCTCACCAAAGAAGACTTGCAGGTGGAAAATAAACATATGAGAAGGTGCTCAACATCATTTTTCATTTGGGTATTGCAAGTTAAAACACAGTAAGATACCGCTATACACCTACGAGAATGGCCAAAATCAGAACAATGACAACACCAAGATGTGAAGCAACAGGAACTCTCATTCACTGCTGGTGGGAATGCAAAATGGTACGGCCACCTTGGAAGACTGATGGGCAGTTTCTTACAAAGTTAAACACATGCTTTCCATCGTGTTCCTTGGTATTTACCCAAATAAGTCAAAAACTTAAGTCTATTCAAAAACCCTGCACACAAATGTTATTGTAGCTTTATTCATAATTGCCAAAACTTGGAAGCAACCAAAATGTCCTTTGGTTCGTGAATGGTTTAAAAAACCCATCCATATAATAGGATATTATTTAGTGATAAAAATACATGTACTATCCAGCCACAAAAAAGCACGGAAGAACCTTAAATGCATGTTACTATGCGAAACAAGCTAATGACATCCTGGGAAAGGCAAACCTACGGAGGCAGCAGAAGGATCGGGGTTGCCAGGGGCTGGAGGAGACAGGGAGGGTGAACAGGTAGCGCACAGAGGATTTTTAGAGCAGTGAACTTACTCTGTATGACACAGTAGCAGTAGACCCATGTCGTTATACCTTTTTTCAAAATCCATAGAATGTCCAGCACAAAAAGTAGACCCCAACGGACACCAGGGACTGTGGGTTAATAATCTTGTATTCCTATCGGATCACCAGTCACAGCAGCTGTGCCCACGGGACAAGAAGGGTATGTGGGAGCTCTGTACTTTCTGGTCACTTGTCTGTCAACCTAAAACTTTACTCTTAAAAAGATAAAGTCTATTAATTTTAAAAAGTGAAATTAGGAATCAACTCTCCTGTGAATGTTCATTTAAATGATGTCTCTGATCTACAGAGCTAGATTAATAAGAAGGAAAAGAACCATTTGAAAATTTTGAGACTGTATTTAGTCATTGCCAAATAGCTATTGGGTTTTGTTTGTTTGTTTTCTTGAATTAAACATTCCCCTCAAAAAAACCTGACAGCAGTAATGCATGCTCCTTGTAAAAAAAAAAAAAAAAAAAAAAAGCCAGGCTTGGTGGCTCAGCCTGTAATCCCGCACCTTTGGGAGGCTGAGGTGAGTGGATTGCCTGAGCCCGCGGGTTCGAGACCTGCCTGGGCAGCGAGACCTCATCTC